TATATATATATATATATATATATATATATATATATATATATATATTAGAAAAACCTATTTTAAAATATTAAAATATATATATTAGAAATCGGTTACAAATGTTTCAATTTGACTAAGTCTTCATTAGTGCATTCAATTAACAAGTCGTTTATAACATAGAAAAATCGTAAAGTTTGATATAAAGAAACATTATTCAGAAAAAAATAGTAATTAAAATTGAAGTAATTAAATAAGCAACCGAAACCACAACGCAATAAATATTGATTTAAAAGATATTCGAGCACAAATTAAAGATAAATTAAAATTAATACTATATTATATGTATGTATGTGTGTGTATATAATGTGTGTATGTGTGTGTGTGTGTGTGTGTGTGTGTTTTGTAGTGTATGTGTATGCGTATGATATTGTATCGTTTAACGTGTTGTTCTAAACTCATTATTACGATAGGCATTACCATACATCTTAGTAGTCAAAAAAATAAGATACCTGCCGGGTAAGCAGGGGATCCGAGGTTCGATTCCGAGGCTGAGGTGATATTTTTCACAAAATAATTTCTGATTAAATAATGACTGGTTCGAGGCCGGACTCCCCAAACGTGAGAAGCAAGAGGACTCACGTTAATCAAGCACCCCAAAGAGATGAGAGCCCCGCCATGTTCATGTCGTTCATGGGTAATTTTAAGCATGGGGGGAATACCAGTGGTAACTTTCAAGCCTTTCAAGTTGCAACTTTCAAGCCTCATAAATCGAAAGGTACTTTATCGAAAAATAATTTTATTGTACTGTTTTGAAAAGCTCTTGACACTAGCTATTCTGGAATCAAATAGGATGTGCCATTTAAAAAAATTGATGTGACCTTGATCTTGGCGACGCCACCCAAGGTCAGACTGACAAGACTAGTGAATAGATTATTTAACCCTTAACCAAGCGCGCTGCGATGATGTGAGTGCTGCAAAATCCGTTTTTCTAAAAAATTATTGATAATGCAAATCTTTTTTATAAAAAAGTAGATACAAAATTTTAATATTATAATTAAATTTTAATATTATATTTTACTATAAGTATATTTTACTTGTCTTTATGACAATTATTCAGTTATTTATCTAATTATTATTACTCCTAAATAATAAATTTGTGATGCGCCCATTAATGTTCGGCCGGGAGATGCTCCCGATTAGGGGTGAAAATCCTACAACTTTTATAGGAACATTTCTTTAATTTTCGAGATATTTCACCGGTCTAGGACTTTTTACTCACCCTGTGTATACAAGCTCCTGGCCATCGAATTAGGATCACATGCAATTTCACTATTCTAATTGTAACGCTATCATAAACGATAAATTGTTCTTGACTGTACAAATTATTACTAAATATTACCGAAACAGTTATATACAGGATGATTCAAATAATCCGTGTTCTTCAAGGGACATATTTCTAATCGTAGTTCTGAGACGATTTTTCCTTTGGCAAAAGTTTATTCAGAGCTTAATTTTTAAATTATAAAGAAAAACAATTAATGTATTATAGATCAGATATAGGAGGTAAGCAGGGACAGTACAATAACTTATTGTTACACACGAGTGTTTATATGAGGCGCCTATCGCGATCAGCTGATACAGAATAAAGAGAGTATATATATATATATATATATATATATATATATATATATATATAT